AATGTCAAGGGGGGGAAAAAGGAGACATACGTAATACTCTTTGTAATACTTTAAGAAATAAAACAAAATTAAATTAAAAAATAAAAAATAAATAAATAAAAATGAAATAAGAGACATTGCAACTGATACAACAGAAATACAAAAGATTATAGGAGGCCATTATGAATAATAATATGCCAGCAAATTGGATAACATAGAAGGAATGGATAAATTGCTAGAAACACACAACCTACCAACACTGAACCATGAAGAAATAGAAAATCTGAACCGACCAATAACAAGTAGGGAGATTAAATTAATTCTCAAAAACCTTCCAACATAGAAAAGTCCAAGATAAATTGTTTCACCTGTGAATTATACCAGACACTTAAAGAAAAATTAACACCAGTCCTTTTCAGTCCCTTTCAAAAAAATAGAAGAGGAGGAAACACTTGCAAATTTATCTTATGAGGCCAGCATTACCCTGATAGTAAAGCCAGATAATAACACTAAAGGAAAACTATAGATCCATATCCTTGATGAATAAAGAGGCAAAAATTCTCAATGAATATTAGCAAATTGAATTCAACAACACATTCAAAAGATCATACACCATAACCATGTGGGGTTTATCCCTGGGATGCAAGGATGGTCCAACATATGCAAATCAATAAAGATGGTGCACCAAATACTGGAATAAAAGATAAAAATCATATGATCATCTCTATGAATGCATAAAAAGCATTTGATAAAATAAAACATATTTTCATTACAGACTAATAAATTGGGTCTAGAAGGAACAAAATAAAAACCCATACAACAAAACCTCAGTTCTCGAACTTAATTCGAGAAGTGATTTGTCAGAAAACTGTATCATTTTTTCCTCATTAGAAATAATGTAAATTGAATGAATCCATTCTAGACCCCTAGATGATTTCCTGCTTTAACCTTTCTTATATACAGTACATGTCTAATGCAGCATCTTTGCTTGTTCATATAACTCTGCCTCTGAAATGGCTGTCACTGGCTAACTGCTTTTTGTTTATCCAAATCAACAACACTTTTTCTGCTAGTACCTCTTCAATTGCCTCTAATTATTGTTTCTTTCACACCCTTAGCAACATTAGCACTCTTGATGGCTTCTTTATGTTTTAGAATTGTGCTAATTATTAATTTTGTCAACAACAAAAACATTCTCTCCTTTGTTTGTTGCCTGAGAAAAGCTTTTGTCACGCTGAGGTATCAGCAAGAAAAGGTTGTCAGGTTGAAAATCAGTTTGGTTCAACAACCGAGACATTTTTTCTGTGAACAACTTGGTCGAGAACTGAATTGTTTGAGATAGCAGACAGTTGAGAAACTAGATTTGTATATTACAATGCACAGCTATCATTATATTCAAGTGTGAACAGTTGAAAGATTTTCCTATAAGATCAGAAAAACTACAAGGCTGCCTACTCTCACCACTCTTATTCAGCATAGTACTGGAAGTCCTAGCTAGAGCAATCAGCCAAGATAATGAAATAAAAGACATCCAAATTGGAAATAAAGTAAAATTGTCATTATTTTAGATGATATGATTTATACTAATAGAAGGGTAATATGCTAATTAGACCGGATAGACCGGATGTCTTCTGGACATCATTCCAGACAAAGCCACAGTGGCTGCGAGGGCTGAGGAGGGCCAGCAGCTGCGGCGGCTGGCAGTGGCAGCAGCAGTGGGGTGATGGGGGTGGCACCTTCCCCTGATCAGCCTGGTCACCTCCCGCATCCTCTGAGGGCTCCTGGACTGTGAGAGGGGGCAGGCCGGGCTGAGGGACACCCCCCCCCACAGTGCACAAATTTTCGTGCATCAGGCCTCTAGTCTTATATATTGGAAATCCTAAAGACTCTACCAAAAAAAAAACACAGAAGTATTCAATAAATTCAGCTCAGCTGTAAGATATACAATCAACATACAGAAATCAGTTGTATTTCTACACACTAAAAACATAACAGCCCAAGTACCCATGAGTAGATGAGCAGATAAAAAAGATGTGGTACATTTGCACAATGAAATACTATGCAGCTATAAAAAAAGAAGGATCTCTTACCCTTTGAGATAGCATGGAGGGACCTGGAGAGTATTATGTTAAGTGAAATAAGTCAGCCAAAGAAAGACAAGTACCACATGGTCTCACTCATATGTGACATTTAATGAACAAAATAAAGTGATGAACAAAATAGATCCAGAGACATGGAAGCATGGAACAGACTGACAAATCTCAAAGGGAAGGAGGAGGGGGGTAGGAAGAGATTGACCAAAGAACTTATATGCATATATGCATAACCCATGGACATAGACAATAATGGGGTGCAGACTCTCATCTTACACCATACACAAAAATCAACTGAAAATGGATTAAAGACTTGAATGTAAGACCTAAACAATGGAAGACCTATAATAAAGATAGGGAGTAAAGTCGTTGACATCAGTCTTTGCAATTATTTTTCTGGATTTGACATCAAAAGCAATGAAAACAAAAGCAAAAATAAACACATGGGACTACATAAAAGGAAAATGCTTCTGTACAGCAAGGAAACCACCACCAATTAAAAAGACAACCTATGGAATGGGAGATGATTTATAAGTTGCCAATAAGCAAAAGAAAAGATACTCAATAAAATTAGTTATTAAGAAAATTTAAGTTAAAGTGTAAAGAGATATGACTTCACAAACTAGAATTGCTAAAGTTAGAGAGACAATTCTAAGTTTTGACAAGGATGCGGATTAACTAGAGATCTCATATATTGCTGGTAGTAATGTAAAAGAAAACAACCTCTTGGAAAATCAGTTTTTTTAAAGATTAAGATACACTTACTAGGTTATCCAAAAATTCTACTACTTGATATTTACCAAAGAGAAATGAAAACTCACGTCCACACAAAAAATCTAGGCAAGCAAGTTTATAGCATTTTTATTCACTAGAGCGAAAAATTATAAAATAAACAAATGTTCATTAACAGAATAATAATTAAACTATAGAATATTTATAGAATGGAAGATTTTTTAGCAATAGAAAGAATAAATGACTGGTAAATGCAACTGCACAAAACATTGAAGGAAGCGCCATACAAAAAAGGAGTGCATATTGTATGATTTTATTAAACTCTAGAAAACATAAAACTAATTTATTGTGATAGAAGCTGTTAGTGTTTGTCTGGGCCTGGGTTTGTGGAGTCTTTTATTGGCTGCAAAAAAGGCACATGGGAACTTTTTAGGGCCATGAATCTATTTTGTATTTTTTTTTCTCTTTCAGTTTTATTTTTTTATTATTTTTTAAATTAAATCTTTATTGTTCAGATTATTACATTTGTTCCTCTTTTTTCCCCCCATAACTCCCCTCCCC